AAACTAGTTTGCTTCATGATATGGTGAGAAAGTGTTGTTTTGAAATATCATCAAATTCTCAAAGATAAAAGTTTCTTTCCATTCTAGAATTGCATCTGTATCTCTCTGTGCCTCTTTTCCCTCAATTGTTCACTTAGAATTCCAAGAAAAAGAAAATACGATAAGATTCCAGAAGAAAAAGAAGGAGGAAGTGATTCTAAAAAAGAAAGTCCTGTTCTGTTAGGAAAGAGGGCACAATTAACAGCCTTGCTTTTCCTGAAGTGTTTGTGGAACAGCAAACCTGTAAGGGCCATAATGTGGTCATCAAATGGGGACAATCTGATTAGAATGGCAAAACTGAGCTTGTTGGTTACTTGCAGTGCGTGCGTGTGTGTGTGTGTGTGTGTGTATTTGTGTGTGTGTGTGCGCGCGCGCGTGCACGTGTGTGCATGCATGCATGCCAGTTCTTGTGCTTGAACTCAGGGCTTTTGCTCTCACTTGGCATTTTTGCTCAAGGTGGCCCTCTACTACTTGAGCTACACTTACATTATCAAAAAAACTGAGAGTCAGCTTGTAAGAGAAACCCACTGCCGGAGATTGATTGGATGAGGAGTCATGGTCCATCCTGCAGAAGACTTTGGACAGCTGCTTGACTGGCAGTTCTTGAGACAGCTTGTTCCTGTGGTCCCTCAGAACATAGTTCCTGGCTTGTTCTGTTGTGGAATGATACTATATTTTCATGCCAGAACATGGGAGACTTCTTTCCGTAAGTTCTCTGTGTCTGCTACTTCCTAAGAAGCAATGTGTTATCAGTATATCCATGTGGTTATTTATTTTCCATGATTACATAACAACACATTAAGGGGTCTCAGGCAGCAGACCTGGGAGTTAGTTCTCAGGGATCGATGGTGCTTTCAGTGGCCTGGGCCAATGGAGAACTTCGTAGATTTCTGGACGGCAATTATCACGCTAATATTAATGAAATTCTGCAAATAATGTGACATGGTCAGGGTGCTTGGGACATCAACAGGAAATCTTTGGTTTGCCTTCTGTAGGGACAGTGATACTGGTATGTGCTATACTGAACAGTCCCTAATGTCAAATGATGTTTCCTGGTTGGAGGGCAGAGAGTATCAGGTTTATCCTTTATAAGGTACTAAATGACTCTTCTGCTGTTTAAGCAAACTCTCCAGAGCTCTCAGAGGAGTGAGCTTAATTTCAGGAAGAGTAAGCACTGGGGAAATAAGGTTTCACATGAGTAACCAGGAAGAATTCTGTGTGTCTTCATAACTGGCTCATACATGCTCTGAAGCAAGCTGGCCACATGACATGCATCCTGAAAGTCACTCATCAGAGGTTTGTTGAGAAGCTCCTAATGCCGCTCCTGGGTAGAATAGATGTGGACTTTACATACGTGGCTACTAAATGCACTCAGTCTCTGGAAATCAAAGCAATATAATGACACCCACCACCTACAGAATTCCATTTCTACCACCAAGCCCATTAAAAGACTTGTTACAGAAAGAGAGAGAGAGAGAGAGAGAGAGAGAGAAACAGACAGACAGACGGACAGACAGACAGACATGGAGAAAGACTTATTCTGTTTTCTTTTTAGATTTTTTAAAAATTTTATTGTAAAGGTGATATACAGAGGGATTACAGTTACATAAGTCAGGTAATGAGTACATTTCCTTTTGAATAGTGTCATCCACTTCCTCATTCTCTCCCAGCTTTTCACCTCCCAACTTCCCCTCCAAATTATTCTGCTTTCTTAAAGACACATTTCCTATACTGGGGTCTCATGAAAATACACAAGCTTACTTTAAGGGTACTTCAAAGGGTACCTACAGGAAAATTTCCATCAAGGTACCATAGTATCACTGTTTATTCAGTGTGGGTTGAGATGCTGGAGTTCATTGATGAATAAGCTTCTCTGCTTTCCTTCCCAAGGTTTCCAGCAATGGATGTGGGCCTTTTCCAAGTCTTGGAATCATTATCCCTGCCCTGGTCTAGTATGTTTATGCCTGCAGCTGTTATTATCCATTGATCTCGGGCATGGTTATTTTCTAAGGCATAAAAAGCAGAGGATGAAAGGATGAGAGATTCCTGCTAGAACACTAATCTGACTCAGTAGCATACACCATCAGGAAATCTAATAATGAAATGTGAGTTCTGCTATTTTGTAAAAGTGAAAGAGTTGATATAAACTGACCATGGACCTTGATGGCTATACAAGCTGGCCATGGTAAAACCACAAACACACAAACAGCTGCTAGCAAGCTTTGAAGAAAAGCAGGATTTGGAAGGACAATGTATTGTGGTAAGCTCAATCTTGCCAGTCACTTTTCGTTTTGCAACATTTGCTAATTTGAAAGCCGTGTGGGGGCTAAGCCAAGCAGAATGTTGTAGGCAAGCTCAGGCATTGCAGGGTCTCACCACAGTAAAAAGATAAAAATCAGAGACAGCCTGGCACTTGTGGCTCATGCCTGTAATCCTAGTTACTCAGGAGGCTGAGAGCTGAGGATCATGGTCCAAAGCCAGCTTAAACAAGAAAGTTCATGAGACTCCTATCTCCAAGAAACTTCCAAAAAGTCAGAAGTGAAACCATGGTTCAAATGGTAAAATACTAGAGTTGAGCAAAAGGGCTCAGGGTCAGTTCCCAGGTCCTGAGTTCAAGCCCCAGGATCAACACACACACACACAGTTGAAATAAAAGTTATTGAGGGAGCCAGCACCTAAGGATCTGATATCCTACAGGGAAAAAAAAAAATTACAAAGAGAAAAGACTAACATTCTGTGCAAGTTGCTCTCAAAGCATTTGCAGAATTGTAAACTTCATATAGTGAAAGCAAATAAGAGAGGCAGAAAGTGGTAGATAGAACCAAAAAGGCTAAACACAGCTGTTTATCTAGCTCATGGTGCTGATGAGACAGGATTTTAATTTCAGGGCACTTCAGAGACAAGTGTGTGGTTAAGCATGCCAAGATCCCACGTGGAGGCTTGGGATGTTATATCCCAGAGAAAAGCCAAAAACAAAGCTCTGTCTTGAATCATCTCAGTTCTTATTGAATCAAGATGATCTGCTCCCAATCTCTTGCCTAACAAAAGAAGATGAAATTTTCTTTAAGGAAAATGCCATCTTACAGGGTGTGTGCAGCACTGCATGCACAATGCTCGGTGGACACATGAGGGAAATAGGGCAAAAAAAATTTAGGAGACTGAAATGGAAAGATGTGGTACAAGGCTAGCCCACAAATCAAAGTCAAGGAGACTCTATCTCAACAGAGGGAAACTGGACAAAGGAGCACAGATCTATCATTCCCAGCAGTGACAGAGAGCCTAAAACAGAAGGGTACCAATTCAGGCATGCACCTGGACAGAATAACCAGTGCAGCCATATACTGGGGGTTTATGCCTAGAATCCTAGCTACTTGGAAGGCTGAGATCTGGAGAGCTGAATTTCAAAGCCATCTAGGGCATAGAGTCTTAAGACTGAATCCCCAATAAATTAGCAAAATGCCAGACTGAAGAGTTGGCTCAGACTATCAGCCACATTTAAGAAAGTCAAATATACTGAGTGCTGGTGGTTCACACCTATAATCCTAGCTACTCAAGAGGTCAAGATTTGAGAATTCCAGTTCAAAGCCAGAAGGGACAAGAAAGTCCATGGGATTCTTGTCTCTAGTTAATCAGCAAAGAGCTGGAAGTAGAGAGGTTATTCAAACAGTAGAGTGCAAGCCTTGAACAATAAAAGCAAACAAGAACATGAGACTTTGAGTTCAAGTTCCAGTACTGGAGTGTGCATGCACACACCTACACACACACACACACACACACACACACACACACACACACACACACCTTTACTGAACCAGACTCTGCTAGACATTGGAGACACAAAGGTGACTGAGGGTCATGTCTGTAACTAATGTGGAGATATCTGTGTTCCTGAGAGCTGAAAGAGGGTGTGATAAATCCTGTCAGAACTGCCTGGTGATGTCATTTGTGGAGTGTAAAGCTATCTAACATACCCATTATGACTCGAGTTTCCACTTGAAACTGTCATAAGATTCCTGTCCCAGATCTGCTACTGCTGATATTGCCCTTCCATGATTACCACACTTACCAAATCCCTCCCAGGCTTCACTGTCTTCACCTGGGACACAGGGCCAGGTGGAGAAGGATAGAGTAAAAGCATCAATGCTGTAGAGATGACAATGAGGATTCGTTAAAATCATGCATGCAAAATGTTCACATAGAGTTTAAAGCACAGCAATCACTTGACAAAGTTATTAGCTCATCTTGCCACTGTTACTTCACAGACGAGAAAACAATCACAGGAGTCTGCATCTTGCCCAGGTTTGCAAGGGCTTGTGGGTGTCAAGGAGAGAACTCTAACTTACCTCTGACCCCAAGCCCAGTGCCCTGCCCAAGCCCAAGGAATGAGATCACTCATGAGATTCAGTCCAGTACTACATCCACAAATAAGAACTGCCATATTCTAGTGTTTTCCTCTTATTTAGCATTGCACTGAGATTTTCTTCTTGTCATTTCCTTGGAGATTATAGGAATTCTAAAACATCACAGATTATATCTTCCATGAAATGTCTCTTTCTCCCCTGAAAGAACAAGGTTCAATATTTTGAATTAGAGAGTTACACTATTTTCTCCTCATCCACATTCTATGTTCTAAGCCATGTGTGGACTCTATTAAAAATTACTTCCTTCGTCCATTCAAACCTCCAAACACCAATGCTTGAGCATTTCTCCCCAGCGCTTCCCTCATTCGAGTTCATCTGCAACAGTCTCTGTGGGACCAGAGTAGCCTCAAGTCTGTGTAGAGAAAGAAAGTCCTTATGGTTGAAGTACAAAAGAGGGAGTGTGGTAAGGTGAATGGAGAAGTAATCAGGAATCACACATGAAAGAAGAGTCTTTGGAGTTGAAGATACTGGAAATCTATCTAGCTCTGAATTGTTTATAAGCCAGAGGATGAGTAATCAGTGGATACAAGAGGCTGAAAACATTTGACTTTGCTGCAAGCCCTGGTATAACTTCTTTTCCTATAAGTTGGAGCCAAAGAGCACAATGAGTACAAGAAAGAGAAAGCATGGTGGATCAGTAGGTTCTAGACAAGCCCAGAAGCAAACTCGGGAAGCAGCTGCCACTCCTGAGATTTCCTTGGAAGCCAAACCCATAGAACTTGTGGAAACTGGTGGAGAAGCAATTGTGGACCTCACCTGTGAATCTTTGGAACCAGTGGTTGTTGACCTGACTCACAAGGACTCCGTGGTGATCGCTGATGAAAGGAGGCCAAGGAAGCACGCAAGACGGCTGCGCCAAGACCAGGTTGACAGCTGTGTGGTGAGCAGCAATGATGAGAAACTGTCCAGGGAAAGAGCTGTGTATGTGACCACCCACACCCCCAGAGGCGCGAGGGAGGAGAGGACCATAGGACCCAGGCCCTCTGGTACTGTCAGTCATCCAATCTGCATGGATGGATACTCTGAGATTGTGCAGAATGGTGGTCTGATTGTTTCTACAGAATGTGGCCACGTCTTCTATAGCCAGTGCCTCCGTGATTCACTTAAGAATGCTAACATTTGCCCAACTTGTAGAATAAAGATCAGCCACAAGTGATACGACCCCCTTTATATATGAAATGGTCAGATCTGCTCAGGAGAGAACAACGGACAGACACACAGCCACCTGGACTCTCCACATGCGATCTGCCTCCAGTTTCCTGAGCTCAAAAAGACTGTTTCAAAACCAACAACGGATTCGAAAACTGCTCTTTGGTTTCCAACCCCCTTAGATCCTTTGGTTACCCTGTTTGATGCTTTGGGGCTGGATCCAGGGGCACTCCCAGCCCACTCTGCATCATTGCTCACTGCTCCTGTGGAGTGGTCTTATCCCTGGGTGGGAGAAAAGGAGACAGACATGATTGAGGTGAGCTTTGTTGACTCCAGCCTCCTTCTGGAGCCTACACATTTGCCAAGATGTTTCTCTCATGGGAATGCTTGCTTCAACTCTTCTGGGAGCAGGACCTTCCCAGACATCTGCCAGGAGACCAGTCAGCGACACAGCGATCCAGTCAGACATGGGACATCTAGCCCAAAGCCTCACACTGGACATTTTTCTTTCTTCCCTTGAGAGTCAGAGGTGACCCATGATTCTGCCCGCACCTTACCATTGATGTGCAGTGTTTTCCGCAAATCAAGAGAACCTCTTTCCAGGGCAATCTGTTTCCTAAGAACAAGAGATATAGTACTGCTAATGTCCTCATAACCTACTTCACCTGTGGAGCAGTGCCCATCTCACCCCATCTCTGTTGACTAACTGTTCTCAGGAACCTTAACCATGTCCCAACGTTACTCACCTGGCACAGGACATACAAGGCCATAGGACAGTCATGTGTTTGGATGTGCTCTCTTCTGTTAAAAGTAAGTCCTGTCAACAATGCTTGATACGAAATGTATTCATTACCTTGCTCATGTGATTGTAACCCCTCTGTACAGTATTTTCACAATCAAAAACTTATTTTAAAAAAATAAGTCCTGTGTGGGCCACATGCCCTCTCGTCCTCATTTCCCACTGCCTGATACCTGCCTAAAGGTAGGTAGCCAGAATTTGGTGGCAGTCATGGTGGCCTTACCAGCTGCTCACTTTCCATGCATTTCCCCAGGTCACTGTCACCCCATTAATAGACGTTGGCCATTTGACCTGATGCTTCACTCGGCTTTTTTATCTCCCTTCCTTACCTCAAGAGAAGCTGCTCTTCTGGCCCAATTGGGTTTTGATCCTTTGGGCTTTAGATTGTGCCATATATTTTGGTCAAAGCATGGTGGTTCTCTCTCCCCATCAGGCCGCATAAACCTCTGCTCCACTCTGCAGGTGTGGGAACCTCAGGTCCTCTGGAAGGTGTCACGTTGTCCTGTTGCCTCCAAGAGCACCAGGCTTGGGGTAGCTTACAGCGGAGAGGGCTTGAGGGCTAGCTAGCCCCCATCCCCACACCACTCTTAAGAGCAAGCCAAACCAACAGCCTTTGGGTGTGTAACATCGTTAAGGTGGGAATGGGGACACTTGGGGCTATGCTAGCCATAACTGACCTTCAGTGTGAATTTCTGAAGGAGCAGAGACTTAGCACAGAATTCATTTTAAATGGGGCTGAAGGAGTGTCCATCCTCGGTGAAAAGGTTTATTTCTATCCTCACTCTTTAACTGTTTGACCTCTTTCCAGTTGGCTTGAGTGAGCGTAATAAGGAGCACCAGCTCCTGTTGTGACTCATGGTGCAGATCTGCCTTCTGTTTGGACATTATGGCTTTTTCGTTCTCTCTGGGCCTCATGAAATGCTCTTGTTGTGTCCTAGTGATACCCAGACTTCAGGAGCCAAGCTAACCCTGCCAGCAGTTGACCTATAAATATGGCAACACCTGTTTAAAACTTTGCTTTATGTTTAATCTTTTAAAACAGCTTACGTGGTAGATCACAGAAGATGTATTCATTCTAAATTAAGTTGGGGAGAAGGTGTTTAATTCTCTTAGTCAGAAAGTGCAAACTAGGAAAAGGTTGCTATGAAAAAATCTTTTTCCTTTCCTCAATGAGTGTACATAGTTCAACTCTTTGTTACATTAAACTATGCCCATGGACATCAGTCTGTTTTGGACTGCTCTGCTAGTGTTAAAGATGGAAATAAACCATTAATTTGAACCAAAAAATATCCAAATGCCTTTTGTAGAGTACATGCATATAGGACAGACTCAATATTACAGCTCAAAAATGATAATGCTATGTAATAGTTACAAAGTCCTGGGCTAGTTGCTAGTGACTTCTTCTTGTAATCCTAACTACTCAGGAGGCAGAGCAGAGGATCTCAAATTGAAACCAACACAGGCAGAGAAGTTTGAGACTATCTCAAACTAACTAGAAAAAAGCAGAGTTGGAGGGGGTAGCCAAGTAAGAGGGCAAGGGAAGTTTGTGGCCTTCATACTGGTAAACACACACACACACACACACACACACACACACACACATATCCTTGACCTTTATGAAGCTTAGATCCTATTGAACTAGTAAGAACTGTAAGCAACTAATTCTATTCTGTATTTTAAACTAGTGATGTGTTTTATAAAGAAGGTAAGACAGGTTGGTAAGAAGGAGGGAGAGAGCAGGTTTAAGTTGAAAGAATTCTGATATAGGGACTTTAAATAGAGATGTAGATGAGAAGATGGAGTCAGACACTTAAATTTGGAGATGATAAACAATTTCTTTCTTCTTTTTTTTTTTTTTTTTTTTTGGTTGGTCATGGGACCTGAACTCTGGGCCTGGGCGCTGTCCCTCAGCTCTTCAGCTCACGGCTAGTGCTCTACCATCTGAGCCACATCACCCCTTCTGGCTTTTTCTGCTTATGTGGTACTGAGGAATCAAACCCAGGGCCTCATGCGTGCAAGGCAAGCACTCTACCACTGAGCCACCTTCCCAGACCTTTCTATTTTTGTTTTTTTTTTTTAAATAGTAACTGCAAATGAACATAACCTTGGGTTTTCAAGGGACATTTTGATCAGGTGAGTGGGTGAGTGGTATAAAATGGGGCTCCCAGGTAAAGGTGAAGGTTAAGGCAAGAAGAACCATCCAACCAAACAAGGGAGAGGCTAGACTTTATCCCAAGTGTGATAAGACATTGTAAGAAGTTCCAAGCTGAACATGAGTCACATGTTTGTTCCATACAGGGCCTTGCATTTCTCCCTTAGCTTCTCCACTCAAAGCTGGTGCTCTACTACTTGAGCCATACCTTTATTTTTGGCTTTTCTTGCTGGTTCATTGGAGATAAGAGTCTAGAGGCTGGCAGATACTCAGATATCAGTGTCCTGAGTAGCTAGGATCATAGGCATTAGCAACTGGTACCCAGCAAGTCACATTTTTTAAAAGATACTATGACTATTTTGTAGATGTTGGATTTGAGAGAGGTAAGGGTTAGAGAGGAGAGGCTGAGGAGGAGGCAGCTACCACAGCCTCTTCACATACACTGCTCATAGGGACTGTAGTAACCAAGTTCATGCTTTATGCGAATGAAAGCAAGTACTTTGTATTATGACACTTTAGTTGAATATTGTAGGGACGGATAATTGTCTATCAGAGATCCAGTATGTAAGAGAACTTGTTCAGAGTTAGCCATGTTTTGCTTGAAAATCTAAGTGGTGCGAATCCTATCCTGACCTTTTCACATTATTTTGGGAGACACAGACTTCCAATTATCCACAAATCAGCAAATATAGATTTGACTTCATTTTATTTTTATTTCATTGTATTTTATGTCCATCCTGGGCATTATCCCTGAACCTCACAGTGCTCAATCACTTGAGCCACAGCTCTACTTCCAGGTTGTTTTTTTTTATTTTTAGGGGGCATTGGTAGCTAATTAGAGATAGAGTCTCAGAGACTTTCACGTCCAGACAGGTTTCAAACCGTAATCCTCACATCTCAGCCTTCTGAGTAGTTAGGCATAAACCACTAGTGTCTGGCTTTTTTTTTTAATTAAAAAAATTCCCCCTCCCATTCCTACTTTCAAATTGCATAGAACATTGAATATAATGACTGAATTTTATGAAATTCTTTCTTTCTTTTCTCCCATCCCCAGTACTTAGGTCCTAGAGGTCTCCTACAAATGTCCATTGGCCAGGAAAAAATGATAAGCTGTGAGAAACACTTTGTTAGAGGACCTCCATCAGTTCTAGTAACAGAACGCCTAGCCAGTGGTCATAAAATAGTCATACATGGTCACTCAGCAAGTACATTGGTATGCAATAAATAAATACCTGGTCACAAGGAAACTAAATCCTCTAAATGGCTACTGTCTTTGACTCCAGTTTGACAAATAAACCTCTAAAACTGGCAATGTCCCATCATTGGTTTATGGCCTCTATTCACTATCAAAAGCCATTCAAGCCACAGGCAACCAACATTAGCTGCTACAGAAATAAGTCTGGCCAAAAGCTTGGTTGGCCTCAGGAAAACCATCACAGTAACAGATGTTCTATGTTTCACCTCAGACTGAGGCAATAATATGGTACTGAGATTATTCTCCACAAGTGTGAAATCTTCCTCTTTCCTAAAGTTATTATTTCTGAAAATTGTATTTTCTTCTATTGAAAGGCACCAAGATAATCCATACTCCTGTCGCTCTAAAATTGTTTTAAACCAAAGGCTTCAAAAGGGAAGAGGTGAAATAAAAAGCTTTAAAGAATTAATCATGATAAGTTTAAACCTATCTGCAAGAACAGATTTTATCCTCCAAAAATATGTAGGTTCAAAAACACAAGAATGAATCCCAACCACTCTATAATTTTCTTCTTTCCCCCAACCCTCCAAATTCCAATTTTTAAAAATAGATTCCATCTAGTAGAGGCAGAAAATGTATTCTGTAGGCTGAGTTTAGGTGCAGTGGCTCACACCAGTAATCCTAACTACTCACAAGCTGAGATCTGAGGATCCCAATTTGAAGGCAGAAAGAAAACTCTTACCTTCAACTAACCACCAAAAAGCTAGAAGTGGATCTTCTAGTATAGCATATCAGCCTTAAATGAAAAAGCTAAGCAAGAGTATAAGGTCCTAAGTTAAAGCCCTAATATCAGTGCTAGCA